TGCTTAACTTGGTGTCTTTGATCCCACCTATGCCTTCGACCTCTCATGCTTAGATGACCTTTATCACACAAGATTCCGATCAAGTCATCATGCTTTAAACAACTTGTAGTATTGCAACTAACTAGTACCAATATGACCTTTTAGTCACTAGAAGCTACGAAACTACCCTGAATATCATAAGACAATCTTAGTGGTTAGGTGACCCATCGCCCACTAAGGGCATACAAATGATGTCGAATGTTCTTCAAAAGGATGGAAATGACTTGCATTTTTAAGAAAATGTTTTATATATGTTTTACAAATACAGTTATAAAAAACATGATCTCATGAATATTGCATGCATCTAACAACTCATGTAACCTTTTGTAACATTCATATCACTTGTTATAAGGTTCTTTAGGTACTAAATAAAATATCATTTTATTTACCATTTGCTACGATCAATTATAAACTAAAATCCAATATTTTAAAGTTTAGTCGTAGAGCGCTTAAGAACCAGTCATAGTCTTAATAAAATTTCATTTTATACATAAGACTTGGAGTTTTAGATGAGTTCGAAAATCATAATTTTAAAATAATCAAAATCATATGACTTCATTAATTTGTAGAATAAACTCATTTTATTTTATAAATTCAATTTTATACATCTTATGGTAAAAGATATATTTTGATGTACCAAAACTTAGGTGATGATACTTATGTTTTAAATCTCATTTGACATACATAAAACATAATATCAACATGTTGTGTTATGTTTAAAATACTAATATCATATATTAAGTTTCGACGCAAAAATAATCACTAGTTTTATTATTTGCCGTTATAACGCTATAACCGATTTTAGTCTTTTTAATAAAAAATCCTTAATTATTATAAAGAACTTTTAAATCATTTTTAAATATTTTAAAGTTGACTATTTATAAGTTTTACAATAAAACTATTTTCTAAAAAAAATCAATTATTAACCGGTAAACCGGTAACGGTAAAAATGTTTTAATAAATATCTATTTATAAACAAAGTTATCTTTTAAATATTTTACTCAAACTCCAAGTGATATTATTTTATGTTAAAATGTTATTTGACATGTGAAAACTATTTTCATACATAAAATACAACATACAACAACATAAAAAAAACATCACATGCATGCATTAAAATGCATATAAACCAAACAATGTCTAGTAACAATTTTACTGAGCCATCACATGAATTATTAAGTATTTTCTAAAGGACATAATGGACTCTTCAAAAGGTATTTAAGCTCCCACTTTCCAAGTCAACTCTTGCTTGCAAAAAGAACTTCAAGTCTTCATGTTGTAAATTTTGTAACACTTAAACCATTAAGACAATAATTAAGCCCAAAACCAAGAGTAGAAGCTCATGGTTGGGATTATGGTCTCAATTGTTTAAGTCATGTTCAAAGATGTCATCTCTTCATCTTGTTACATTAAAAAAGAAATACAACTAGTCTAACTAATTTATTACAACAAATAAACAAATGAAAAATACATATTTATCTATTATATCTTATGAATAAATAAATATCAACCAAACACAACACAGAGGTCCAAATGTGTTGTTTATACACAACAACATATCAAATATAATAACAAACAACTCTTTGTTTTTCTAAGACAACTTTTATTAAACCAAAATGCATGAAAAATGGTTATATATAAAATAAAAAATTTTCAATACAAGTTGCCAAAGAAGACAAATATAAACATTTCTTAACCAAATGAAATATACGCTTGTTTTCCAAAAACCAAAGATTATCAAACATAAAAAAAATTTCTGACATATAAAAGATGGCTATGATACCACTGATGGGTTTTAATACAAAATATAAGTTAGTTTTTTATAAAAACCGGCAATGGAAGCTTTAAAAATAAAAAGTTTATTTTGAGTTTATAACAAAACCAAACCATATATGATCCATTTATAGAGGTTAGAATGATATTAAAACAACCATAGAGTGTTTTAGAATGACAACCTTTGAAGCCTTTAAACTCACTTAGTTTTGGGGTGTTGATGAAGATAGAAAAATCAAAGAGTATGATCTTCTCTACAAGTATCCACCATCAAGATAAATCATTTGGAATGCTAGTTCCTTATTGTATTATTTAAGTATCTTAAGACTTTAAGCACTTAAATCAAATATGCACTAAAGGAGACAACTCAAAGGAGCTTTAAACCACCAAACTAACTTCAAGTGAGAGAGAGCGGGAGGAGGGAGAAGAAGAAGCTACAACTTCTTTGTTCTTTTTGAGAGAGAATGTGCAAGACATGAAATACTAGCCCCAAACTCATGCAAAAACCTTCCCTTTATACTCTCATGCAAAACATGCATTTACATTAAAACAATATAAAGCAACTCTAGCCTTTTAGACGCATTAGAGACAAGGTATGGAGGTTGACAAACAACCTGCATGCCTAAATAAAAAAATTGGTCATGCCATAAGGAAGAGACAAAAAATGTCTAGCTAGTTTATTAACCATGATATGTTAACTCATCAACTTAATCATGGTTAACCAAAGTGTTCAAAACTTTGTACATAACTTATTATATCATACCATATGATATAATAACTAGTTATTCTTTTAATTATTATTTTCAGAAAACAATAATTATTCTTTAATTAAATACAAGAATGAATATTATTTATTAATAATCATATTGATAATAAATATACAAAATATGTCAACTTGATAAATGTATGATCCTATAGGATCATATATAGGATCATATATTATTAACAATATCATTCAATAATGATTTTTGAGCATATAAATCCAATAGTTTCTATCGCCGACCAAGCCCCTTGGAGAATGATCAGAACCGACGGTGGCTATTTGGATTCGAGGATTGAATTGGCGATTTGTTGAACTCACCGGAATCCAATCGTCGTCATTCTCTCTATTTCAACACGAGAGAGTTGAGAGGGAGATAGATTAGGTAGTGGGTGGGTCCATCCTTTTTTTTATTTTGTAAATAATAAAATAATGTGAAAATAGAATTAAAAAGACAATATAGTCATTTCAAGTTTTTCATAAACCGAAACAAAAACTGAACTATTGATGCAAACTGTTTTTTTACTTATTCATAGTTTTTTTTCGAAAGAAGAACCAAACTGACAGTTTACCATTTTCTAAAATACATGTAAACTAAAACTAAGGGGTTGTTTGGCAGGATCTGAATTTTTAAGATGTCTGAATTCTAAGAGGGTCTGAATTTCTAATATCTAAATTTTTAACAAACACTAATGTAAGGTTTTTGTCAATAGTAGAGACCCTTTTATTGAGCAAGCTCATTATTCTTCCCGTAAGAAAATAAAGTTATTTAAGAACATATGATAGAACTCAAAAACATAACCTCCTAGTTGCAACCAACATTTTACCCAAATCCTAGAAATAGATACTTTAGATTGCAGATTTACTCATATGAGCTCAAACTTGTATTGTTGAACTAACAGATTACTATAAATAATACATGTCGTTTGTGTATAACATCATTAAACCAAAAAATTTTGTATACCGAAGACTTCTGACCCATCAAATAACACAAAAGATCATCCACATATTGTGCCGAAAAATAGTTTTTTAGGGTATACAACCGACCACCAGCGTCTGATAATCGAGTTTTAGGGCTTTGATTTCATAACAAATCCAGAATAATCGATTTTTAGGGCAAAAAAGAACAAACATTACCTAGAACCATTCCGGAATAATCTGATTTCATAACCATATCAAGGCAGGCGGAGGCGTACCAGCGAAGGAGCAAGGGTGGAGACCGGCGTTGTCTAGGGTGACACTGCCAGAGCTTAGCATCAGAGGTCGCAGCTGGGCGATGGGATGATGGGGGCGGCGGTGCTGTGCGTGGTTGGCAATGGGAAGAGGTGGGAGACGCCGGAGTTGGTCGGAGGTGGGAGGAGAACGAATATGATCTAGTGAAGCTATGAAGGTGGGATGTTTTTGATGGAGGTATGCGTGCGTATGAGGGCAAAAAAGGGAAAATATGTTTTTTTTTCTTTTTTATTCGGATAAACATCCAAATATGAAAGTTTAAAAGGTTAAAACTCTTTTATTAATATGTAACCAAACATTCTTAATTTTACAATTAAGATGTACCAAAAAACCTCTAATTCTAGAGCAAATGCATCCATGGTCGATACAAATCTCTATGGGAACTCTTTCAAAAAAAAATCTCTATGAGAATTATAGGGGCTTAATGTGTGAATATCCATAATAGAGGTTCGGTTTTATAACATATTGTGTCGGCTACCCAATCACGTACCTTGAATTCTTGCATTGAAATTTTGAAACCTCGAAGTACCCACGAAGCCGCCATTTTTTGTCTCCCATACAGCTTCACGTGGTTGGAGTCTTCAACGTAGTAGATCTACTTCGAGGATGATCAATAACCCTCTCAAATCTCACCACGTGTCCACCCCACAAACTTCGAACACACCCGATCTATATATACCCATGTAGTTGAACGTATTCTACACACCACAAAAGAAAACAGAGTTTCAAAGCCCTTTTCGTCCTAATCCAAAACAGTAAAACCCCACATTTCTCTCAAATCTTCTTGTAAATCCTGCAAAACCCAAACTTTGAATTGTTAATTGTTAGCTTATCGTTGTTTTTACATTGTTTTTGGTTTTCTTCAATGATTAACATGTGTGATGCACATACTCGCCGGATTTTAACTTCTCCGGCGATTCGTCCATGCGAAAAAGCGTCTCCGGCGACCATTCTTTCCTCTCTGATTACCCTTTGTGATACCATATGTTCATATAAATCAAAACCCTTTTACTCCAATGCTCGAAATGCGAAGGATTCCCTTCTTCTTGTCGGGAATATCCTTGTATTCCTCGAAGATATCCGACGAGATCAAACGGGTCTGTCAGGCGCGACGATTCTTTCACTCTCGGAGCTCCATTACGTGTTCCAGAAGCTCCGGTTCTTGCTGGAAGACTGCACAAAATCTGACGCCCGGATGTGGATGCTAACCAGATCCGAAAAGGTATCCAATCAGTTTCGGGCCATTTATCGATCCATTACTGTAGTTCTTGATGTGCTGCCGTTAGATTCAATTCATGTCTCAGTTGAATTGAAAGAACTAATGGGTTTAGTAAAGAATCAAGCCTTGAGTTCAAAACTTGGGTTTCGACCCGAAGATCAAAGAGTCTTGGAGCATTTGACATCCATTTTGGACCAGTTGGAGCATGAAATGGTTCCGGATCGTAACAATCTGAAACGGGTTCTTGATTATTTGGGTATTTCGAGCTGGACTGAATGCAACAAAGAAATCAAGTTCTTGGATTCGGAAATTGGGTCGGAAAGATCCACCACCAAGAAATCGGATCTTGGTATCCTCAGTAGTTTGATGGGGCTCATGATTTACAGCCGTTGCACGGTTTTCACCACCATCGACATAGAGAGATTCACTATTTCCGGCGAAACTCACGAAAGCACTTCCAGTCATTTGAATAAATCATTGAACGTTGATGATTTCCGATGTCCTATTTCTCTAGAGATCATGTCAGATCCGGTGACTTTAACAACCGGGCACACATACGATCGATCATCCATTGAGAAATGGTTCCGGTCAGGCAATTTAACCTGCCCAAAAACCGGCGAGAAGGTAAATAGTAGCAATTTGGTTTCAAATTTGTGTATAAGAAGTATCATCAAGCAATATTGTCACGAAAACGGGATTCCGGTGACCGAGTCTGTTGATGGCAACCGCAATCGGGACACTACTAATACAGACACCGGTGGCAGTGTGGCGGCAGAGGCGGCCATAAAGATGGCAGTTGAATATTTGATCGATCGCTTAGTGTTTGGCACCAATGAGGTTAAACACAAAGCTACTTACGAGATCCGAATGCTTAGTAAAACAAGCGTTTTTAATCGGGCTTGTTTGGTTGAATCCGGTGTGGTTCCGAGTTTATTGGATTTGCTCTGTGTTAAGAACCCTAAGATTCAAGAAAACGCGATTGCAGCATTATTGAATCTCTCAAAGTACTCAAAAACAAAGAAAGTACTTGTCGAAAACGGAGGGTTAGAACTAATTCTCGAGGTGGCACAAAATGGGTTAAGAATGGAAGCCCGACAACACGCCGCAGGTACTTTGTTTTATCTTGCTTCTGTAGACGAGTATCGGGACATCATCGGGAAAATCCCGAGATCGATCCCGGTTCTAATGGAACTAGTCCTAGAAGGGACGAATCGATGCAAAAAGAACGCACTTGTGGCGATTTTCGGGCTACTGATGTACCCCGAAAATCATTGGAAAGCACTAGCAGCGGGAATAGTCCCGCTGCTAGTTGATCTATTAAGATCTCCGTGTCAACACGAAGATCTGATAATAGATTCTCTTGCAATTTTAGCCACTTTGGCTGAAAAATCCGATGGGACAATGGCGATTTTGAGTTGTGGAGCTCTTCATGTTATCCTTGATGTTGTAGCTTCTACATCATCAAGGGCAGCAAGACAGCATTGTGTTACATTGTTGCTTGCAATGTGCACAAATGGTGGGGGAGACGTGGTTCGCGTTTTAGTATCGAACTCGACTCTAATGGGACCTTTATATTCCCTCCTCACCGGTGGTTCTCGTGCTAGTAAGAAAGCAAGTTCGTTGATCAGAATTTTACATGACTTCAATGAAAAGAATGCTTCTTCAGGCACTAGACATCCTATTCGCTTCCAAGAACAGTTTATAAATGTTTGGTAGTTTGTACATGCTGTAAATTTCGTGACATTAACTCGGTTTTTTCAAGAGCTAATGTCACATATATAGCTTTGTTATTTTTTGTATGAAGCTATAACGAATATTTCACGATTGTATTTATCTTTTTCTTTATGTGAATAGGACAAGCACATTTTACCTTGTGTAAGGTGTCATTTTTTCTGATCTAATATAATTAATATCAACATTTTTAATGCAGTTAGCCAAGTGGCAGATCCAATAAATTTCTTCCGAAGCCATGGTACATATATACTGGTTATGTAAAAAGTAAAAAGAAAACAGTACGACGTTATATTTGAATGGACATATATACAACAATTCTTACTTTTCATAGTACTGTGGCTATGACATTGATATAAATATCAATTTAAATTAAACAACAAATGAACAAATACAGAAAATAATGGAAATGAGCTTCATTTGGGCCATTCAAGTCTCGAAGCTACAACCTTAACCTTAATCTTAACCTTATTCACATGAGTTGCTAACCAATCGAATTATAGATTATACTTAACTGGTGGCATTTGCATATGTTGTGAAATACATGTAGATCCTCCGAAACTACACATATTAATCTTTTTACAATTTTGCCAACACTAATTTCCTTTCATTTTGTAATTGTCTCATATTCTTAAATGTCTTTTAGAAATCATTTCCCTGATAACGCTTAATGGGAAAAGATAAACAGGGCCTAAGCATATGACCTTTTCAATCTAGACAGTGTCCGAGGAAAATGAAGGTGTAAGTGACCGATCTCGTATCGAAATGTCAAGAGCCTTTTCAACTCCTGCAACCACTTGTTCCATCGATGGCCTTTGTTGCTTCATCCCTATACATGAAACCGCTAGATTGATCATACACTCAAAAGCTTTAAATGAGTAATCCCCATTAAGTTTCGGATCGGCAAACTCCGTCATACTCCCATCCCTTGTTAGCATCTTGGCCTAATCAACATTAAAAGTGAAATTTAACCATAATCATTATAACGAATCTAAAATGTTGGGGAAGAATCTTACCATCTTCCCAAGTGGCATTGGCCTTTGTAAGTCTATGTTGATCACTCGTTGGCCCGAAAGAAGCTGTAAAAGCACTATCCCAAAACTATAAACATCACCGGATGGATTCACCCGACTATTCTTTTGATATTCGGGATCCACATAACCAAATGTTCCCCTCACTTCCGAGCTAACATGAGATAGACCCGTATCGATGATTTTTGACAAACCAAAGTCTGCTAACTTCGCTTGAAAGTTCACGTTCAAGAGGATATTTGTTGGCTGAAAATTATTTTTAATACAAAAACATTAGAATTGTTGGATATATACAAAGTCCTTGATTTTCTTTCCAATACAGACTTCAAAGAGAGATGTGAAAATCCAACATATATACAGATATAGATATGACCATGTCAAGTTGATGTATGAGTCCAACAAGAATCATCATAAATACTAAAAACCGAAAGCAAAACGCTGACCTTTATATCGCGATGAACTATGCATCCTCCAGGATATGTATGAAGAAACCATAGTCCTCGAGCGCAATCAATCGCAATGTGAAGACGTTGGATCCATGTGAGAACTTTATCTTTACTAAATAGCCATTCTGAAAGATTTCCCCAATGACAAAGCTCATAAACGAGAAAACACTCGCCTTCCCCCTCACAATGGTCGAGCAATCTTACGAGGTTTGGATGTCTTACGTGTGACAAACTCGTTATCTCCCGCACAAACGTTTCCATTTCTCCATCGTTCACAATGTGCTTGATCGCAACATTTTGACCATTCGCAAGTACGCCTTTGTACACTTTCCCTACACAAATGAACACCGCTCCAATTAAAAAATTGCAAACTATGCGTATAGAAATTTAGTAATGCATTTGATGTCCATTGGACTAAGACCAACATCAATAGGACAAGAGTTGCACAAAAAAGTTTTAATTATGTGTGAAGGACTCATTTTCTATCTCTTATGCTGAAAAAACGTTAATGGCATCCTCATTATCGAAAATAACATTTTATAATGTGTAACAAAAGCAACCTAAATATTGATGAATCATACAGTAAAATTCTTACCCGCGTTTCCTTCACCAATGAAGTTTGATGCTTTGAGATCATTCGTAGCCGCATAAACATCCGTAACTGTTAATTTCGTGCTTGCTTCTTTTGGAAATGGTGATCGTATGACAGACATATCCACTTTGCCCATTGGCAACTTTCCCGCGACTGATCTTCTAAACCAAATCCACAATGCCATGATTATGATCATGATCCCGATCAGACCTCCAACCAGAATTACCACAACTGAAATTTTCAAGAAATTATCCGATGATTAGTGTGAATCTTACACTTGAATACGTGTTCTAGATAACTCACCAGTGGTCCTCTTTTTCTTGTGTTTATGATTATCATCTTCAAGATTCTGGGATTGATCTAATCGAAAACTTATTTGATGCTGGCCAAGACACTGATAAACGGCTTGAACCCATTTGAAATCAGAGATCTTTCGACTCACCATCGAAACAAGCACAGCGAATCTACAAATTTCAGTCTCTTCCATACTACTGTTCATAGTCAAAGCACCAATCTTTTGCCATCTTTCTAAACAAGAACTGCAGTCGTTTCTTGATTCCAATACCTCACAATCTTGATCTAAACTGGATAAAGAGCTCTCGAGCTTGTTAGCAACATCAGTCAGCGTGAAATCCGAGCAGCTTCCGGAACCGGAGGTTAGCTTTTCAACACCGCAGCTCAAAAGATTTCTTCCGTTGCTACCTTCCAACGATGATCGACAAGTTTGTTGTTGTATCAAATTCAAGAAAATCGATCCAGTTTGATTCGTATGTTTTGATAATGCGGATAGATACTCTTCAAAAGCTGATTCACAACAATCGGTGCTGAAAAATCCGTCCCAATTAGCAGTTTTGCAGTCCGAAGAAAGTTGAACGTCAAGAACACATTCATCTGTGAGGTTTTTAGCTAAAACATGAGTGATGAACACGAAAAGGAATAAAATGGGGATCGTTTTTGTACGAGAAAGTGTCATTGAACTAAGATTTTTATGCAACTTCTGGAAACGAAAGTATTTATGAATTTTGGTAGATTATATGTTCAGTGTTCTTCCAGATTTCGAGAATAGAAAGAATAGAATAAGAAACTACACCAAACTTGCACTAAAACACAAATACTGTGTTCATTTTTAGTAAGAAATAATATTTTAATGAAAAATCAAAATATTTAATTTACTAAAGCCAATTGCCGGCCATTCCAATTTGAAGAAGTCTGATTAAGGAATTAAGATATTAAATAAAGTTTAATCGGATACATAATTTTATTTAAAAACTTACGTCTTTATCGTATCTGTGATTTTGTTACAAAGTAATTACTATGCATAGTTAAATACCGAAAAAAAAATCGAAGTACAATAGAATCAACAATTTTAAATGACTAGTGATTATTTATGCTCAAATTATAAGTAAAAAGGTTATAATCACTAATTTTGACAACTTTAAAAATCTTGAATAGTTGATAGGCCGTATGTGGTTGGTTAGAAGACACCTAACAATTAATCTTTCTCTGATCACTTTTTCTAGAAAAAAAGTAAATATGTAAAAGATGATGAATTTTGAACACTTTGAAAAAATTGTATTTCAATACAAACTATTTTGGAAAGGAAACTTCCCTAGAAGGGTTTCAATAAACTATTTGATGAACCATTAATGTTATATTAATCATATTAACTTATTTTTTATGATATTATTGGTATTTATCAACTTTTTTATGATATTAGTTATATTTAATTTTTTAAATTTAATAGATTTGCAATTTAAGATCCCCACCTATGCCGACTGTTCTCTAGTCTCTAGTCGTCTCACTTAGTACCGTCTAACGAATTTTACAACTTGGTGTTATCAAGTTATCAAAGTAAATGATCATAACTCATGTGTAAGTGTAAGAAACTGCCGAATACAATTATAAAAAACTCATTCGTTTGTCCTTAAGTAAATGATTATTAGTAAATTTTTTATAATACTAGTCAACAATAAATAAGTAAAAATATATTATATTAAAATAAATGCTATTAATATTTCTTTATAGGCCTTATAAGTCCACCACTTAAGTCAGACAAGAAAAGGACGTTGATTTTATAAAATAGAAGTATTTACATTAAGATGGTGTGAATTCGTAATTGTGTCGTATAGTGCTACAATATCATTTTAGCATATAGGACAAATATATAAGAACAAGGGTATACAATGATATTGTTCTCTTCTTCACCCATAAAGCATAATTCGTTTTCACTTCGAAAGTGAAACATAATAATTCGTTAATTTTACGATCCATGGTAATTGTTTGATCTTGTGTATTGTTTCATGTCACGTAGATTGTATTTGTCGTCATATTGGTAATAATTGAACTACGAAAGTTCTCAAACAAAACCAGTTAAAAGAAGAAAAAACAAATCCATGTGGTTTGATTGGATATGCATTTAGAATTTGTAACTCACAGTGTCATGAGAGTTAATTTCTTGTGTTTTTCGTTCCTAATATTATTTAAATTTGTTGTCAACCCTTGGTAAAAATATAATTTTACCATTGATATTACATTTACTATTAATTTTAATTGTGAGTTAGCCATAAGAGGAAGTATAATATCCGAATATGATAAGTTAGCAAAGTCGAAAGCCTGAATTGATGTTGGACTAAACCGACATGTATGCAAATGTAGGGCCATCAAACCCCTCCATATGAATTTGTTGAGGACCCTTTCCTCTTTTGTAGCATTTTGAATTACCTTACCCTACCAGAAACGCGAGGATTAGCGGCGACAAGCTTTTCGTCGTTAAAAGGTCGTGGTTGTTGCATCGCTGCAAATGCTTCATATGTCGCCACTATTGCTCTTCGTTGCCGCCAATACCCTGTCTCCGCTAATACCCACCGTCGCCGCTAAAGCCTTATCGCTACTAATACACGTCCGTCACCACTAAAGGCGTCGCCGCTAATTGTAATTTTCATTTTTTATAGTATTTAACATTAAAATTAGAAAAAAACAGTATAACAAATATAAAAACTGTTACGAAACATTATTTTGCAAAAAAAAAAAAAAAAAAAAAAAAAAAAAAAAAACTAATAGTTCAAAACATTAACCACTTAATAATATATACGACATCCGATCCAAAATATTAATCCAGACATCCGGTCCAAAATACTCATCCAAACATAGTGCAACATATCCAAAATGCTAGTATAAAATACTAACCCAAACAAAACATTTCATAAATCCTAAAAGTAGCTATTCGTCCTCATCACTCCACTTGTTTCCTTCATTTCATTTCGTGGCGGCAACGATCGAAACCACTCTTCCAGTGCCACACTACATGCCGAGTTTTTTAGCATTGTATTGCAGCATGTCCAACTACAAAGAAAAAAAATATATTATCAACATATCATAATAGCATTCTACTTTACAAATTAAGGTCATGATGATTATAGTATCCTACGCTTTTATTTTTTCCATTGTAGCATTGTTCTTTCCAAATACACTTAAACATATATCCTACACATTATTGCATATACATTATAACATTGTACTTTCTTTCATTTTTCCATTATAGCATTGTAATATACTAAACTAACAATTATCAAACTACAAAATACCAACATATCAAACTATAACCAAACTACATCCTACACATATTGCATATACATTATAGCATTGTATTTTTTTTTTTTCATTATTCCATTATAGCATTATACTATACTAAACTAACAATTATCAAACTAAAAAATATCAACATATCAAACTATAACCAAACTACTATACTAAACTAACAATTGCATATACATTATAACATTGTACTTTTTTTTTTCAATTTTCTATTATAGCATTGTACTATAAGTAAACTTACAAAAATATAAGTAAAGTACAAAATATATTACCAACATATCATTATAACATTCTACTTTACAAATTAAGGTCATGATGATTATAGCATCCTACTTTTTAATTTTTTTTTTCCATTATAGCATTGTAATTTCCAAATACACTTAAACATAAATCCTACACATATTCAAAATACACTTAAGCTAACAATTACATGTAATTGTGGTGGTGGTTGTGTTAGTGGTTGTTCCTGATCGTACATAGACATAACCGTAGAAATTTTACGCCCGATGCCTCTAATATGGTCGTGTCGAGCACCCAAAATTCTTTCAAAACAATTTTTTATATGCTCTGATGTTAGACCGCTTGCTTTAGAAGAAGCTTCAGTTTGTTGATTGATCTCTTGGAGTAAAGCATTAAGTATTTTCAAAAAATGATTCACATCATAATATAATTAACCACTTATATATTGTTGCTCGACTGTAGGACTACTAAACACCCCCTTGACGATCGGTATTAGCCTTACGAAATGTTTCGAGTCTAGTGATGCCCTATTTAACATTAAAAATTGGATTTAAATTAATTATACTTTAAATAAATAGTTAAATATATAATAACTTACTTTTTTGAAACAGGCACTGCTATACGAGCACGATCCCCCTCTGTTTACAACTTATAGTTGTGCCCGAACTCCTTTGTTTTCCGCCGAACGCTTTTCAAATTCGGTCGTTTGAAAATGTTCGACCGTGTGCGCTCAATTATCACGTGACATACCCTCGGGGGGGGGGGGGGGGGGCTAATGCCTTTGGGATATCTGCAAGCCCTCCGACATTCTTAAAATAAGTATGCGCTTTACTTTTCCGGCCTCTATTACTTTTTTCTAGAGTCGAATCAATGCTCCGCAACAACTGAGCTCGCTGGGGATCCAAGTTAACCTTATCCAAATCAAACCTTCTTTACAAATACAAAAAAGTTAGTTAATTAAATACCAATCACAACTAAAATTAAAATATTATCATATAAATAATTTACCTTCAAATGCATGACTGTGACATTCCTTAAAGCGGAGGAAACATTGTCCCAACCAGATACGCTAAAAGGGATGTTCTACCACATTTTTGGTTTATGACAAAAGGAATGGAATGAAGCAAATATGCATGGTATTGATCTTTGGAAGTTCTCACAAGAAACACACACACAGAGACACACACACACACACACACACACACTCCATGAGGAGGGGTATCCTTGGCCCCACCCTGAAAGAAAGGAAAAGAGTATGTAACACTCTTTTATATTTTATTAGAAACTAGTTTAGTATTTATAAAAACCAAAGTTTTTTGGTTTATATAAATAAACATTTGTTTATACAAATCATACCTTAAGATTTTATTTGATACTTTTTGTTCAAATTATTATTTTCATAAATTTATTATTTTTCTAATTAATTACAAGAAATATAAATATTATCAAGAATCAAAATCTTATTGAAGGTTTGTATTGTGATCGGATACACTTCAAGTATGAATGAAATAGAAAATAAATGGCACAAGAATTACTCCAAATGTTCCTTTCACCAAGAAAAGAGGTTTTGTCTTCACCAATAAGACGGGGTTTGCCACAAAGACAATTGACACAAAGCCATGAACTAGCACACGACCTCTCTACATTAGGGTTTGCCGTAATGTAGTATATATACTAATCTATACATGTATATCCCTTGATTGACGGGATTGTATCTGATCTATACTAAGAACCGATCTTATCATAAAGATACAGGATCTGATCTATTATATATATATATATATATATATATATATATATATATATATAATAACTGCCTAATATACAAATGATTACAATAGAGCAACTGTAAGCTAATGTTGTTGAAGTTGTAGAGCTGGTGCTGGCGCTGTCGACTTGTAGACTCGTTAACGCTGACGCTGATGGATCAGCATGCTATGTGTTTGACTCATCAGATCATAAGGTGTGACCGTACAATTCCCCCTATCTGATGATGTCAAACCTAATTTTTAATGAATTCTTGGGCTCGTGCTCCCCCTAAGAATAAGAATGTATTTTTAACTCTTCAGCTTTAACGAATGCTCCCCCTGAGAAGATGAATGACTTATCAAGAATTTATGAATTGCGGCAGACGGCAAA